GTTTTACATTCATTTTATTTCCTTTTCATTATGTTTTTTTTTTCTCCTTTTTGTTAATGGTTGCTATTTTACAAGATCAACAATTCTTATGTGAATATTTTACTAAAAACCAAACTTGTCAATTATCAGGTGCCCTACGAGGAGCTGGGTGGGAAAACATTGGTGATGTCTGTGTATGACTATGACCGCTTCTCCAAACATGATGTCATTGGGGAGGTGAAGATACCCATGAACACCATTGACCTCGGACGTCCAATCGAAGAATGGCGGGACCTGGAAAGTGCTGACCAAGAGGAGGTGCTGCTCAAAATCATGCAGATTAAAGCTGTGTTTCAAAGATTGTGTTATCAAAATGATAGATTTTTGTATATTTTCTGATGAGCATGTCTAATTTTCTGCTGCTCAGCCTGAGAAACTTGGAGACATTTGCATCTCTCTCCGTTACGTCCCCACTGCTGGAAAACTCACCGTCTGCATCCTGGAGGCAAAGAATCTGAAAAAAATGGACGCCTGTGGTTTATCCGGTAAATTATCATTACGATCACTGATATCATGATAACCCTAAAATTTGGATTGGTGCACATATATTGACAACATTCAGGGTTTTAAAATGTATTTTCTTTAGGCTGAAAATAAAAACAGTCACATTGTTCCCCTCTAAAACAATCTTTTTCTTTAAGAAAATAATAAGCACTTGTAATTAGAAAATGACTTTTGTTGTGTAAAACAAGTTTTCAGGCACTTTTATAATGACAGTAAACTCAAACTCTAAAGACTTGAATGATAAAGCATACAGTTACATGTAAATAGCATATGTAAGAATGAACGGTTGAGTTATTTCAGCACTTACTTTCAATAAATCCAAACATGCATTTACACTTTTCTACGATGTAGTATTAGGGCCACATTATGAGTTTTTTTTTTTAAAATTATGAGATTAAAGTCGTAATATTATGAGAATAAAGTCAATATTATGAGAATAAAATCATAATATTATGAGATTAAAGTCGTAATATTATGAG